AAATAAAAGCTCTAACATGCAGATTGACAAACTTCTGTACATAGATTTTGATTAATTTATTGTTTAAGATATAGAGAGAAGAGAGAATCTTCTAGGAGTCATGCCCTTTTGTCTTTCTAGTTTCTCTTGGTGATAATTTGTTGGGATAAAAGAGGGTGGGGGATTTTATAATAAATACAACTAACAGTGCTATCAAAAGGAGTATTGTAACAAGCCTAGATTCAGACTAGGTCTAGTCCAGTTTATGGGTTAAGTTCAAATTATTAAAAGGCATTTCAGAATTAGCTCCTGGCCTTTAGGTTTAGCTTCAGTCCAATCCAAAGCTCAAAAATTCAAGAAAAATCAACGCACATGAGAGAGCAATCATCGGAATAAACATTACTCCAAGATTGTGTCTATCCCCAATAATAACTATCTTCCCCGATAAATTAGTAGCTTGATCTTTACATCACCGTCACAACTAGGGTTCTGTGCCTATAAATTGTAAACCCTTTTACACGTGGGTGCAGATCTTACAGATTACACCTTGAGCATACCCTTGCACTCTTTCTCTAGCTACTACCTTGTACTCTCTCATTAATAGAGTTTTTCAGCCATCATTGTCGCCTTCAGTGGTTAGGACACTCAAACTCAACCACTCAATTTTTGTCTCTTATTATTAATTGCTTTACATGATACACTCAACTAATTTAATTGTGCATAGTTAACTTTGTGCATCACCATATTGTATTATCTTTATAGGTTTTTGTAAGTGTAATAATGAAAATTAAAAAGAAATTCTACTTTTTAACTAGTATAGATTTATGTAGGAATGTCATTTCTGTATCAAACGAAATGGGCCCATATTAGGTCTGACTGCTTTACTGGATATGATGGGCTCAACTGTTCAAGCTTACAACATGGTTTGTTAGGTCGTGTCCTTTTTTCATAGGAGTTCTTAACCATCCCAAACAACACAAACTTTATTTCTGGATAAAGGTATTTTCCAACTTATTTTTTCAAATTTAGACACTTTTAAAAAATGGTATTTAGAATAACTTTTTAAGTTAGAAGTCCTCATTCTGAATGACATGTTTAAGAGAAGATGAAGCAGAGGTGATTGAGTAACCCAGAGGTAAGGACTCACTTTCGTTTACAGGTGATTGCGGGTTCCAACATTATCTCTTAAAAAAAAAAAAAAGAGAAGAGACTAGTGTTCAACAATTACAATGATACTTCTGCTTCAAAAGTGTTTGAACAGAGTTTTTGGGCTTCATTGGTATGGTGAAAAACACTTCTTCTTTTTTTTTTTTTTTGTGGTGAATTTGTTCTAGTAAAAATTGAGTAAATTTGCAAACAATACGACTAAGTAATTATGTCGACACCTCTAAATCTAATATAACCTTTTTATTGTGCAGGTCATACGAAATGACATGTATAATCTTTTTAATAATTAGAATGTGTTGGGTTAAACAATTTAACTGGATTTCAAGGGTTATGTTCATATATATATATATATAGAGATATATATTCAAAAACATCACCATAATTTATGGAAAATGTTTTGCGGGGAATTGAAGTTTTGTATTGTAAAGATAGATTATTCTGGTTGTGTGTCGTATTTATGTCAATAACACGAGTTAGGCGGGTTAATTGTATAATTAAATATTGTACTTAACATTTATTTGTGTAATTGCTTCATTTGAAAATTATGCACAACAACGACTATAGAAAAAATCCATAAGCTAAAAGAACAAAACATGGAAGCAGACATAGATAAAATGAACTTGATGAGGAACTGGAAGGAACCCAATGAAATACTAGTGAGAAATCCCCCCACAGTGAAGAGTCTACTCTATGTACGGTAACACTTCTAATTGACCGAAACTCAATATCTAGTAACTAAAATTCAATTTTTGTTTGGCCTGGACATTGACAATGTGTTATAAGATTTTTATTATGTGAAAAAAGCAGTCAATTGCACGAGCCTTTTGTTATTGTTGGGTGGAGTGAGAATTAAAGTATGCAGCCTTATTGCATGGAGTTAACCCGAACGAGGAGCATAATAGACCTCTACAAAAATTGGGATTTCAATTCAATAGCATATCATTTGGTTTCTACTTTTATCTAATTTTTTGTCAGTCTAGTATTATTTGTATCGGGTTCAAATGGATTCCAAGGGCTGTAATGTCAAAACCTTTTGTTCAAAGTTTTATGTAGGGGTGCTCATGGGCGGACGGGGCTAAGCTCGCGAAATTTATTTCACGTCGGGCCTAGGTAGGGTAGGGCCAAGTTCATACTCTAAGTGATTTATCGGACGGGCTGGGCTAAGCTTCAAGTAGAGGTAGGGTACCCGCAGACCAACCCGTAAGTATATTGGGCGGGTCTGTTTACGGGCTTTTTTATGTACAACTTTATTTAAAAATAAAGAATACTTTTGTAATCTAATATTTGTATAAATTATATTTTCGAATCAAAAATATAGTCAAAATAGATAAAAATAAAATAATAAATAATTTTTTTTTGATCAAGGGATGAACTATATCTAATAGAATGAATACATCTTAACTAGATTGACACCTGAATTAATACATCTTAACTAAATTGACACTTACTCACTTATTTATCATTTACATTACTTTACCCTTTAAAATTTGTATGCTTAATACATGTAAAATAAAATAATAAATTATTTATAGTATCTAAATTTTTAAAACTTCAAATTCCGACGTTGAAATACTTATTTTAAAACTTTAAATTTAATGGTCTAAACATATAATTTTTTTTCAAAGGAACGGCGTGTAGGCTGCGCTTGGAGGGCGGGCTCTAGGTCAGGTTTTAACCGATTTTTTTCAAGATGGCTATTGGGCCAGGTAATGAGTTTGGGGCGAAACCTAAGGCATCTTTTTAAGGATACTGAGTTCGAGCTTAGGTGGGCGAACTTTCAAACCTATCGGGTTTTAGACCTATTTTTTTTGGCAGATTAACGGGACCCACAAGTAACCCGGCCCGTGAACACCCTAGTTTTATGAATACCTGCTATCAAGGAATTTTATCAATTGCTTGAACTAGAAAAATTTATGTTGTATCCTTCTAACTAGGCAAAGAGTTTTAGAACCAATAATATGTCAAGTCATTCCCCTATATATAAATTGGATGAATATATATTGTTAAACTTTGTAGCAATTTGATAAGTACAACAATAAAATAATAAATAAGCAAAATAAAAAAAATTAAAGCGCAACTCACAATACTAATAATTACATGATTCGACAAAATTGTTTTGCGCATGTCCACGAGGTGTGATTCGGTCTTTTTTTTTTTTTATTATTGCTAGAAAAATAAATATAATAATACAAGACTCACCACTCATGTTTAAATTCCAAACTCAAGCCCTTAACCCTTTGTAGAACCCACTCAACCTTTAGAAATCTCTCGTATTCTTAACAAGAGAACAAAAATTGAACACATACAATTTTTGAGATGATCTCAAAACCAAGAAACTCATGCCTATTTACAAGTATCAAGGTGGTGGCATATGAACTCCTTTGCATTTAAGCAATGCATTTGATTGTTCCACTTGTATCTTTCAATAAAATTTTAGCAATGACATCATCTAACCACTTACAAAGGAACTCTCATCTTATTCAAGCAATAAAATTGCTTCATTTATATCATCCAATAAAAGTTTAGCAATGATATTATTTAACCAATTAGATTTTTTAAAAAAATTTCTTTTTGAAATTGAGTCTGAAGTCAAACATGTAACCTCTAATTTTCACGCGCGAAACAAGGAATAAAAGATTAGGAATTTATGAATCTGCATATTCATGAAGCAAGAGAATGCCACTGAACCAAAATGAAGGGAGATACCTTGTGGAATTAGGAACTAATGTTCGTTGTGGAATTAGGAACTAATGTTGCCCGTAAAGCTACTCATCAAGTCCAACAATATCAACTGATATTTCTAAGGTCAAGCTTGTCGTTTGCTCAAGCATAGTGTGAAGAAAAAACCTCAACTTTAAGTTAGCATTTGGCCAATGTATGACTATGGTATGACAATAACAATATAGCAGGCACACATATGGTATCGACTGCATGTGAGCCGAATGCTTTGTCTCTTTCCATTGTGTTGTTTACCCTACGAGGTTTTTTTCAGAGGGGTCCTCAATGTATTCCAATCGAACGGTTTAAAATTGTTAGGCCTGTTACTCTTCACAGATTTGCAGTGCCAGCACTTCACCGGGGCCTTAAGTCCTAACTGTAACTGACATATACAAGGATCTTGTGGAAACTTTGATGAAACTAAAAAAAGGAAGAAGGAAAAAACAACCAATAATCCGATAGCATCAATACCATCCTCCTAGTAATAACCAGAATCTTACCGCAGTAGCTATGCTCTCTCTCTCTCTCTCTCTCTCTCACTCATGGCCTTCAAGTTTTTGGGAGCCATCCTTTTGCTCTTCCTATACTTCTCCAACTGTGGAGCTGGGCTTATAACAGCACTCCCAGGACAGCCCTCTAATGTTTTATTTAAGCAATACTCAGGCTACATTGTGACCGATGCTCGACAAAGCCGAGCTTTATTCTACTACTTCGTGGAAGCCAAATCAAGCAACCCATTTTCACGTCCCTTGACATTGTAGCTCAACGGAGGTTTAGCCGATCGATTAGCTCAAAATAGACTAACTCTCTTTTTTTTTTTTGTGTTTTTTGTCATAGGTTATACCACTAATATAAATGCTAATGACCCTTTTTCTTGTTTCTTCTTTTATTATGATTATCAAAATAAAACTGTGACACTAGGTCCTGCCTGTTCTTCCCTTGGTTTTGGTGCATTCCATGAACATGGTCCATTTAAAGTTGGAGAGAATGGACTGCTGGTCAAGAATAACTATTCTTGGAATTTAGGTGATTGTTTTTCTTAATTAATCAAATTTTTGTAGTCTTCTTAAAGAGTGAGAAAGTTTTAACAGTGTAGAGAATTTCTCTCTGCTTTGAAATATTGAACAGAATCTAATATGTTGCACGTTGAATCCCCTATTGGAGTTGGATTTTCCTACACAAACACAAGCTCGAACTACATTTGGCGGAATGTTACTAGGACCGGTATGCAGGCTTTTATATATTAATTTTTATTTTTTGATTGAAGTTTTTTTGTTTCGTGCTGTGGATACTTTCTAGATTTTTGACATTTTGTTGCTCATGCCAGCTGAGGATAATTTGAGATTCATCATCAACTGGTTGGAAGAATTTCCTCAGTATAAAGATTCTGATTTTTTTTTAACAGGAGAAATCTATGCAGATAGTCAACAAAACAAAAATATATAATTTAAAGTGTTCTCTCTGTCATTTAATTAATTCATGTACTTAATTCGGGTATATTCGATTTTGATGCAGGGTACTACGTTCCAGAACTTGCAGCATTGTTGCTTGAGCATAATCAGAAACCAAACAATAGACCCATCAAGCTCAAAGCAATTGCTGTACTGGACAATAAAAAAAAAACCTAATTATTTTCTTTTCTTTTGTAAATTTCATAGATTTTCTTTACTCAATACGTTTTTTGTTTGCAGCTTGGAAATCCACTTTTAGACCTACACATTAGTGTACTTGCTGGTGATTATTTGTGGTCACATGGTGCAATATCGGATCACACATTAACTTTGGAGAGGACAGTTTGTAATGACTCCAAGTACATGAGGGAGTATGCTCACAGTCAATGGTCTCAGGTGAGTTACCCGGAGACAAACACGATATATTGCTCGCAACGACCTGCTTCTGCATGAATGCTTATCAAGCACCAGTATGCAATTCAAACCAAAAGGGCTTCATCAGAAGATAAATGCAATGGTACAATTTGTCTATCATCGATTGTTTTTTTTTCCTTTCCATTTGATTAGGGTTGATTAAAGAATGCTAAACCGTTTCTCCTATGATATGTTTGTGTTGCTTTGAACAGATTGCTAGGAGGGAAACCAAAGCAGATCCATGCCTAAAATCCAGGATTCTTAAATATCTAAACAAACCTCAATTTCAGAAGGCTCCCCATGCTAACACAACAAACCTTCCATTCCATTGAGACTTTTGTTTAGGGTTCTCTCTCTCTCTCTCTCTCTAGACTAGTCAATCGATTGGATTTTTAGAGATCCGAATTTGAATCCAATTTAAAAAACTTAATTCAAATATCTTCGGATCTTATTTTTAGAGTCCATATATGAATAAGAGATCTAATTCGAATCGCTGACCTGACCCGATCGACCCAAATAACCTAGTTAGAGCTGATTTTAACAAATCACATTTAAATTTTAGCTCAATTTTAAAAAATAATCATTAAATTACATGAAAAATATATGTATATATATAAAATAATCTATATAATAAAGTAAAATACAATTCAAATTTGAAAAAATAAACAAAATGATTTTTTCTATTCACGATTAAGATCTCTTTTAATTTTAATTTATAGTTAATCTAGCGGTTAATATTAACACTCTAAATTTAATAGAAAAAATTAACTCTTAAGGGTGAGTTTGGAGTATTTTTTAATAGTGCTTTTATTATTTATAATTTTTCATAAATACTTTTAAAAAAAAATAGTATTTAGAACTTTCCCACCACCATCACCTCCATCGCCCCATCATATCACCATCGCCACTATAACCACCACCCTTACCATTACCACCGCCACCCCATCCCACCACCAAACTATCCCCCACCATCATCATCACTACCACCTCCACCTTTGCCACCCCACCATCATCATCGCCAATGTCACCACCCCACCACTATCACCATTACCACCACCCCCACCCCTTACCACCACCAACATTATCGTCACCATACCACCCCTTAACATCACCATCGTCGCCACACCACCACCACCACCACCATAACCACTACCGCTATTGTCAACTCCACTCCACTGCCACCTTACCACCATCGCCATTGTCCTACCATCGTCGCCGCCTCCCCATCACCACCTTTATCACAACAACCACTATTGCCCACTACTATCACCACCGTCACCATTACTATTGGTACCACCCCTACCACCCGATCACCACCATTCCCACTACCCCACCACCACCACCATCACCTTCACCCCACCACCACCCTACCACCATCGCCACTGTCCAACCATCACCTTACCACCACTATTCATATCACCTCACCACCATCACCACTATCACCACCATCGCCGTCGCCATCCCACCACCGCGATTATCACCCACCACCACTACCATCGCTTACTCTCATTATAATCGGTGCTTAAATTCCTTTCTCCCCTCTCTATTTGTGTTTTGATTTTAGCTATGAATATAAATATATTTATTATTAACTATTTTTTTTTTACTCTGTGTCTTCAGGGACAGAAAATAACTAATCAAATTATATGGGAGGTGGGTTGAGAAGCCTTCCCTCTCACTTCATTTTTTCTTAGAATTTTTAATTATTTAATTATCACTTAACTAACTATATTTTAACACATGTCTCATGTAACTACCCCTATATCCCACTAATTAACTATCTTTCATTCAAATGTTTTTTTAAAAATGAGCCGCTAATTTAAATTATTTAGACACATGGTTTCACCTCCATAACTTTACATAATTATTTTACCACCCTAATTTAAAAAAAAAAATAATTTCCAATCCAAATTTTTAAACGGTACGATGACAATAGGAAAAAAAAAGCGAGAGAAAGGTGGATGGAGAGGGAGGAAGGAGATGTGTGCAATTTTCGTGCATCGCATGGGGCCAATGCTAGTTCATTAGAATTACATGATAATTATTAAAATTACATTATAACCGGATCAAATATTAATAAATTCAAATTCAAATTCAAATCCACGAGGTATGATATAACAGATTTAAATTCGAATTCAGATAATCATTTACAAAACGAATCTCTATCGACCTAATTGAATTCAGATTAAGATGCAGTTCATTGACCAGACTGCACACAAATAAGCATGCGGATATATGAAGACATCAGGTGCATTTGGATCAAGGATATGACTTGGGATGAATTTTGCAGGCCTGTTGTATATGACCAAGAGAACTTAGACATGAAGCTCATAACCCTCGTATCAGATCTGTCAAAGGAAGGTATTCTCATCTTACTTTACAGGTATTCAACTGCCCATTTCTGCTTCTCCTTCTTGGTTTTGTTTTAATTATATTTAATAAATTGTTTTAGCTTGATCTTTTCGGGAAAAAAAAAAAAACTTGTCTCGCTCGAGATTTTTATGAATTTTGTGAGTGGATTTATTTTGTATAGCGGAGACTAAGATACAATAATACCTCTTACTCAAACAAGGATTATTGCTGATAATCTCGCGAAGGAGTTGAAGCTAAGCACCTTCACGGAATATGGTACTTGGTATCACAAAAAGCAGGTATATATAAAGATCACTCACCCATGATAACTTGTCCTAATTCTGCTTTTGGTAACATCATTCCAAAATGAGCTTTTATAATCTAGTACTGTATTAATTATTCGCTAAAAAATAGTTTTTTACTAAGACAAACATGACACGAACACCAAACACGAGATTTGATAGGAACATGTTTTGATTGGAAGTATGATAATCTTTGCAGGTTGGAGGATGGTCTCAATCATTTGGTGGCCTAAGAGAAGGGAAAAATGTAACATTGCTAACATACGCCACCGTTAGGGGCGCAGCCCATGAGGTCCCCTTCACGTCCCCGTCGCAAGCCCTTACATCGTTCCGGTCATTTCTAAATGGGTCCCCGATTCCTAGACCCCATGCATAATTAATTGGTCCAGTAGATTTTGGCCCGTAACTCTAGATGAAGTAGTACTTCAGTACTATGAATGTGCACCGCAGTGAACAATCAATAAAGAATGAAAATGAATAACGATGATTGAGAATTTACTAGTCTGTTTCATGCTAAACTCCTAATAATTCGATGTAGATGTTTTCTTTCTTATTTCTTGAATGTGTATATCCTTCCCATTTTTGATGTTTGTTTTAGTCCTACTTGACTTTTGTTTGTCTTGAGAAGTAATCAAATATAATGTAGAACCAGAGCTATATGCCGAATTAAATTACTCAAGCTTGACTTCTATTCTATGGGAGATCAATGAGTCATGATCTAGTATCATATTAGTATTCACTAATTTTTCAGCCATGGTTGCCCTCTGGTTTAAAATCACAACTTCGGAGCTAGTATACCAGATTTTAATTCCTAAACCTGTGGTCTCAATGCTTTAATCCAGCTTTAACAATTCAGGGTGTGTTTGGTGACGTTTCCATTTTAATGTTAAAAAAAAAAAAAATTAAACATAATCAATTTTTTTTTTTTTTTTGTGATAAAAGGTTGATACATAAATTATGTTTAGTTGTAGTTTTTATTTTACAAAATCTGAAAGTTAAAACATAAAACATGTTTGATAATCACTTTAGCTTCTGTCACATATTTTAGCATTATATTAACTCCCTGCTATAAACACATTGAAATTCATTATCTCAATATGTACATCAACCCATAAAATAAGGCACAAAGCAAAATAATAGAAAATCCTTAAAGCCATTAAACATACTAATATATCTCATTGTTAAACATTCTACGAAATAAAATAATACGACGTACTTATTTAACTAAAATCCTAACAAGTAGTACAAATACCAAGAAAAATAGTGCACAATACAAGATCAAATTAAAAAGACAAGTACACATAAAAATTGTGATCCATTTAAATTTCTCTCTCTCTCTCTGCCTTTCCCCCCCCCCCCTAACTGGCCTTGTGGGATGACATCATATTTATCTTTGATTGCATTGTACTAATTAACCCAGAAGAAATGATTAACATGGTCACGCAATCGTGGACAACGATAAAAAAGTCCATCATTGTTTATTTTGGTCTTTGTAACCAACACATTCATATTACCAGATCCACGTAAGTATGAAGAGCCAATAGGTGTCATTGTACACGGTACTCCTGTTTCAATACCATTAACCACGAAAATTTAGAAATAATAATCATTTGAACATAACATTGCAAGTTAAGCAACACTCTAATACTATTCCAAGTAGGACATATATTAGTGATTAGTTGATGCCCACAATTCATTGGCAATTCCATCTTTGACATGAGTTATTTCACGTAACTGACTCGAAGTTATAACTATTTCAATTGGGGCCTATGAACCAGATCTTGCACCACCTCTACCATTATCAACATATTATATTCATTCATATCTACAAACATACAATGTTATGAAGAATGTGTTCTAATGAAGTTATGGACGATACAACTTGTTGTGGGCATGTATTTTTGCATTCTTATGGGATAAGGAGACATTAGTTTGAGAATAGGGAAGTGAGCCTTTAGTACTCCACAGCAATGTTCTATTATATTTTGAAGTGAAGAGTGGCAGCAACTGAATAACTCTTATATGTCGGTTGGTTGTTGACCCTTACCTCTATATTCACGTAAGTGATATCTCTCACCATCATGGTAAAGGGATAGAAAATCAGGCATGCATTTTTGTGTTCTTATGGGATAAGGAGGCATTAGTTTGAGAACAAGAAAGCGAGCCTTTAGTACTCCAAAGTATTATATATCGAAGTGAAGAGTGGCAGTAATTAAATAACTCTTCTTTGTTGGTTAGTTGTTGACCCCTACATCTATATTCACGTAAGTGATATCTCTCATCGCCACGGGAAAGGGACCAAAAACCCGGCATGTTTGTATAACCTGAGTCCACAATATATTATTTATTTGTGAAAATATATCCTTGTAAAATATAGTATATCATTCGTATATTATTTGTAAAATATATCATTTATATATTACTTTCTTAAGTCCATGAATAAATTTTCCTCCTGTCGGCATGGGAAACTTGTTGACTAAATTAGTAACACACTCAAAAAACACTCTTGAGTCATGAGCAATTCCTTCCCATTCACTGAACACAAATGTAAATCGTATGTCAAACGAAAATGAACACATTACGTTTTAAGTTGATACAATGGCCTCATCTACTGAAACACGTGCATCGACTAGGTGCCATCAATAGCACAAACACAATTCTATAATCACAAACATAAATCAATAACATCAGAATCATTTGATGTGATAGCATAGTTTATATATATAAACTAACAAAGATAAAATAACAAAGAAAAATATAGACACAATGTATGACACAAGAGTGTTTGATGAAATGCATGAAAAATCACCTAGGTCTATACTCTCACATCTCCTACTTCTTAGGAGCTATGACCTTACTAAAAGTACTCGGAGCCTCTAACTTGATTGAGATGGTGAGTTTCTCAAGGTCCTTCCTAGACACCTAAACTAGTTTTTCCTTCCTAAAATTCGGGTTAGGTCGGGGGAATGAATGAAGGACTAGCTCTCTTCTCCCCAAAAGTGTAAATCAATCTTGATCTTGGGGGTAGAAGGAGCCTTGGTCACTCTAGCATGTAGTTCATATGAAGATGATGCATGATTATGCTTAGATATACAATACCTTTCTAAAAGCTTAGAAAAATTTAAGCCTTGAAATTTAAGGCTTTGGATTGATTAGTTAGATGAACAAGTTTCTTGTTCAAGACATCCCTATTTTTCATGCAATGTCTATTATCATGACCATATTATCCTCAAGTGTAGCACAAATCATGACCCTCAAGTGTAGCACAAATCATGATTGGTTTGGGTTTCTTTAGCAACCTTTTTCTTTGAATTCCTGCCCTTCCTATTCTTAATAAAGTTAGCGCTTGTACCGACTTGTGGGTGTGTTCATTTACACCCACTCAGAATGGTTACTAGACAAGGTGGGTCATTTGCTGATAAAAAAATTGGGTTGCTCACCTACTATAGCACTTCGGTCTGAGCGTGTATCTCCCACGGATAGCAAGTGTTCTTTATCAAGGACTCGGAACGTACTTTTTTACCCAAAACTTTGGCCTCAATGAACCTTTTTCATTGATCTCTGAGGGGATTAAATAAAAATCCTAATGGTTGAACCTAATTCAGCCACATACTTAAGTCTTGGACTTCACCAAGTCCACTTGAAGGGCTCTCGTCTCTTCTTCACTTGAGTTGATCCGGCCACTCAAAGAAAACACTTCTTTTTATTCCTTAAGGAATTGCACATACAATTAATCATATATATCTTGAATATCCTCATAAAACTCTTCATCCTCCACACACGCGGTGATGTCTTCTTCCAATTCTTTTTCCTCCGTGGTAGGACTTGTTTCAATTTCACTCATGGAAGTTTCTCTAAGGGGAGAGGAGTGTGAACCTACAAAAGTCGTGGAATTCTCTTCATCATCACTAGAAGAGAAGTCAACACTCAGGTTTGACTCAATTTCACTATCATTCCACGTGGCCTTTATGGCTCTCCTCTTGTCTTTGGACAAGTCTCTGTTCTTTCTATTTGGGCATTCCAATGCAATATGTCCAAATCCTTGACATTCAAAGCAATTGAAGCCTTGCATCTTTTTTTAAACTTCTTTTCGAGAGTCTCTTCCCCTTTAAGATTCGACATTACTAACCTAACCTTGAAGTATGTTTTGAACCTTTTTGTAATTAAAGCTTGGTTTTCTTCTCATAATTGGGGTGACCCAGATTTACCTCTTTCTTGATTTATAGAGCTTAAGGCAATGCCCTTAGTTGGCTTTAAGGAAGGAAGGTTCATCTCAAAGGTTAATATAGACCTAACTAGGTCTTCCACCGACACCAAGTTCATGTTGACACTTATTTCGAAGGATGTGACCTTAGCATGAAACCTCTCGGGTAGAGATCTCTCAAATTTTTTCTTGATGGATACATCGTCAAACTTGGTACCTAATGCGAATGATGAATGTACAATATCACACAATTTAGCATAAAATTCACTAAATGTTTTATCATCTTGTATCCTTGAAGTCTTGAACTGAGAGATGTACCTTTGGAATCGAGACATCTTCACCATGGAAGTCCCTTTGTAGGAAACAACCAAGATGTCTCACACTTCCTTTGAAGTATCGCAATTAGCGATCTTTCAAAACTCATTAGGTGTCACGCTATTAAATATCACATTTAAGCCTTTAAAGTTCCACCCCGCTGAATCAATCTTGATTTTTGAACAAGTCGTTGGGGATTTCAATTCAACCACCACTTCACTACCTTCAACTTGTGTGGTGATGGGAGGGCTCCAACCCTTTTTCACTGTTAACCACACTCTCTCATCCAATGATATTAGAAATGCCCTCATGCAAGCTTTCCAATAAACAAAATTTGAACCATCAAAAAGAGGTAGTCGTGTAATTGATCCTCATTCCTTTTGAGACTCCTTTCAAACTAACTTGCAGTAATGATATATCTCTTGGAGGTAAACTAGTTAGCAAGTGAGTAAAAACATAATGTCTACGCAGTTTCTTATGATCTCAGGGCAACTATGCTCTGATTCCAATTGTTGTTCCGGGCAGGGGAACTCATTGTGGATTGCTTCAACTTTAATTATGTAAAATCAAGCGCAGGTTAAACAAATAAATATATCTCTCGGAATACCAAGGTCGAACCCTCAAGGAATTGTGAAACAGCAGCAATCACGCTAATTCTGTAACAATCTTGTGAAGATGTTTTGTTTAAAAGAATATTTGAATTTAGAAAATTGATTAAAGTAATTAAAACAGTATGAAAAATACTAGAGCATCAGGTACTTCCTCTCAAATTCATACAATAATGATTAAAGACTTAGTTTTTAAATATAGACAAGAATCAAGTGTCGATCGATTCAAGTCACCAAATTTATCAATAA